CCTCAGGTTTGTCTGAATGTTTTCTGTCGGGTTTGTCTGTTCTGTCTGGTTTAGTGTTTTCTTGGTAATTTCTTCTTTGTTTTCTCTGTTTTCAGAAGGTCATGATTGTGGTTCACTCTTTTGCTATAGCTCTTGGTACACTATCCCACCATCCTTCCCTGTACCCGGAACCCTTTGATGCTTGTACTATCGTGCTGTTAGTTTGATAGTTTCAGTTCACCTTATTTTCCCCTGGACCGCCGGTTCTTCTAGGTTGTTATCATCTCTTCTATTGCTATGACGGAAAGAAAATGTTGAGGCTTTTAGAAAGACAACCTGTTACAGCCGTTGGGTTTCATTTATTTCTTTATTAATAGATAGGTTAATTCTGGAGCCTATCCTGTTTTTTCAGTGTTTAGTGTTATAGTACTATCCATCCATGTTCTTTGGAGTAGCCTTTCCGTTCGTCTGGCACCATAGTTTGTAAGAGTGCTCCTGGGTATATTTATTGGCTGACTACCTCGTGTGCATCTATAAGTATTATGTCTGTCTTAATGATGTTGACTCGGTCTATAATAATTATTTTTGCTTTGTTCATGTTGATTTCCAGATCATAGTTCCCATAAAACCCTAAAGGTATCAAAGTTGTGTTTTTTTTTTAATGAAACACCCTATATATAATTACATTTGTGGATTCTCTGAGCAAAAGAAGTGTGTGTTTTAATAAGGTTTATAATACCCAAATCTTAAGGTTGTAGTGAAGTGCAACAAGAAATCATATTTTATATCCCAATGATAATAAAGTTAACATGTTATACAGGGTGTCCACAAATTTAAACTAATCAAATAAGAACTTGGAGCGGCTATAACGTGATTAATTTAAATACAACTCCATATTTTTTAACCTACCAGCAAATGCAATTTTTAATTATCTATCAAATGGTATTAATATGTTTACATGAACCATTTGCGGTTTTTTTAATTAAAAGTTCTAAATAACATATCGACAATAAAATCAATCAAAGGCAAATTATTTATAACAAATGTTTGAAATGTTGAACGTTCATTTTCAGGCACTTGTAAATTCTGTTTCAAAACCACTGCTAATTCTGGACAACATTTGCGGAGTTAGAGCTTTAAAAGCGTCTCTTATGCGTATTTTCAGATCGTGTGAAGTTACCAGAAAAAGTATGGTAGGTAGACAATTCCTTTTATGTACCCCCACAAAAAGAATCTAGTTGAGTTAGGAGATCTAAGGGGAAAATTTTGAAATTTATTTCTGCCAATCCACCTGTTTGGAAAGTTGGTATTTAAAAATTGCCGAACTTCGCAATGATACTGAGGCGGAGCTCAATCCCATTGAAGCCACACTTTGGTTCTAATATTTAATGGTACTTTCTCTAATAATACTGAAAGATGATTTACTAGTAACTAGAGAAACATCAAACCATTCAGATGTCTTTCAAGAAATAGAGTCAAATTAAAAATGTGACCAGTATTCCACCCCACATATTACACCCCCACAAAAAACGTTGTTAAGTGGCAAGAAAACAGACATATTTTTGTTTGTGCTAAAACTATGAATGCTTCAAGATTTTACAAAGACCACAGACTTGTAAATAAATGATTAGTGCATCAGCCAAAAAAAAGAGTTGATTCCATCCGCCAAATAAAAAGTTCTGGTAGTTTTTGTACCAGGACACTCAAGAATTCACCACTTGTCCAAAACGGCTGAACTCGATTGTTTCATCAAAATATGAGTCTTACATAACAACAAATTCACAGCGAGTTTTACCAAAACATATCGTACCATTCCCCCGATATTTCAAAAAATATATTTTTTTTTGTAGAACTTTGACCATCAATATCAGAGAAGCCAGACATTTTTTATTAATAAAAGTTAAATCAGATCGTCTTCTTTTGATCCAAATAATATCGCAGTAACCTTTTGATAATGTGCTTGCGGGACACCCTGTATAGGACATTTCATTCAAAAAAGACAACTTTGATACTTTTAGGGCTTTTGGGATATCCTGTACATTACAAAAATATTTTAAAAATGTGCGCCCGTTAGGCGTCTGCCAATTCATAAAATCATACTTTGTAAAAAATCAAAAGGTTTAGCCGCAAACTTCCGTGCCCTATAGCGTGAATAACCCTGTATATTGGGATCTATTACCATTATATTTAGCTTTTCTCAACACCATCCCCATTTGTTAAGTGCAAAAAATCAAAGATAAATTGCATTATTTGGCTTTAAACTTAATTGAAAATTCCCTAGAGCTATTTAAATTAAAATATTTTTTGACTGTGTAATTTTAATAGGTATTATATAATAATACATAATTTAACTATGCTAATTTGGCATATGTATTTAAACTATTTTAATAATTCAACGGCGACAACCAAAAATAGCCAACAGTCATATCTTAAGGCAGATAGTGATGATGGTGATTTGGATAGCATGAAACAGGTCCATATTTGATTTTTAATTAAGTGTCCGTAGGTCTAATAATATTTTTGGCTGTGTGTTGCTAACATTTTTTGATGATATCGGCATGTGAAAAACTGCCACTACTTTGTGATTTAGGTGGCCATAAGCACACCAAATGGCGATTTTTCACTTAATTTTTCGGTCAAGCGATTTTTATCGCTGTAGAAGTGTTTGGTCAAAGAGTTTTCTTAGTGAAATTTGAAATTGACGAAATAACCCATATTAAATTGGAAAACACAAAAATTTGAATTTCATAGCTCAACTCACAAATGACGCGGTTATTTATCTACCGGACTTGATGATGATGATACGTCCTAATTTATTACCACGACTTTGACTCATTACGTGGAATACTATTCCCAAAATATCAGCAGTTGGCAAATAGTTACGAAGAAACAGCGCATTCAGTAGCAGAGCCCTGAGATTGATTAAATAGATAATAAAATTCTTGGAATCTCCATGCAATAAGTGATATATTATGAAAAGTATCATGAATCACAAAAATACAAAAGCAGTAAAAATTAAGCTAAAATCTTGAATTCTTCATATCAACATAAAAAATATTATGACATTAAAAGAAAACGAAAATCAGCCGGAAATATGAAGCAAACAAAATAGTAAGCAATAAAGTGGTAGTCGAATAGGTCGAATTCTAAAAGTGATTAAGATCAACAGACAATTCTTCTATGGGTATGCTCAATGTTAAAGGCAGAATTTCCGGGAATGCAAGCCTTTATTTTTAAAGTTTCCGGCAAAATACTGTTTTTATATTCTTGGGGTCTGTACACTACACAGGAAATGGCCTTGCCTGCCTGAAAATATTCGAATAATATTCCCGTAAGTTGTCTTTTATACGGCTGCTTAAAGCAAAGATTGTCGCGCTGTAAATCTATTTTCATAAACTTTGCTTTTAGTTTGGTAATAGATTTCAGTTTTCACCACAAGTTTATTATTGGCGTTGATTTAATTTAGGGTCGAAAGCAATTTCTGACGATAGTCACAAAAAAACTCTGGATTTCTTTATTTAAACTAAAGTTGGGTTCTAATTCCTTACCAAAGCCATTAAATGCATTGGTGGTATAGTATGGTCAATATTTTATAATTAAGTTCTTTACTAAACTTTGCTACTACAAGATGGAAATGCTTTTTTTAACGCAAAATTTAATTTGTCGGAAAATATTTAAGATTTTTCATGTTATGTTTCACGTTTTGAGGAGTGAGACCCAAACAGCGACAAAACTTTGTTTGTAATAAATGTGTTACATTCATTTGATTTTCTTTTTTTAGTAAATTAAAATGACCAAACGAATTTTGAAATAATTGTGAAGCCAAGGTCTGTATGATAATATCGTATCCAGAATTAACAACTAATTTTAATTGAATTAGTCCATAAGAAGGTTGCCATTAAAATTTATTTTTCGCGCTTATAAATGGTAAATGAACGTTTGATCTGATCTGACCAGTTCCGTCACTGATGCATTTTGGGGTCAGACAAAATTTTCAATTTGTTTAAAAAATATAATAGGTATACATTATTCGATAATTGTTTCTTATTAGCAAAAGTCGCAACGTTCCTCCTGAAAATGCCGTTTCAGCAAAAAGCTGAAAAAATGCCGTAAAAAATCGCTTTCTTCTAACTTTTCCAAAGTTGGCAAAGATAAACTTATTTACTTTACTTGCTCAATTTATATTATGAAAATTATCTTATCTATAGAAAGGGACATTCCGAAGGAATTGAAAGAAGGCACAAGTGGAAATCAGCAAAATAGTTTATATGTTAATGTTTACTGTTTCTTTGAAAGAGTTCAAATGATTGTAATCTAGAAACTAACAAAAAATATGACAAAGCCAACAAAGCAGGTAGAAATTTATTCCAGTTAACGCACCAAACTTTGCCCCAAAGGACAATTTGAAGCACAAGTGTCTTAAGATTGTCAAAATGCTTTAATACTCGTGATGAATATTCAGATTCATGTTCATTCATTCTTGCTCATATTTTGTGCCACGGCGGCACACACTTGGTGGCGTTGTTTATTAACATGTTTTAAAGGCCGTTTAGATGAAAATTGAATCGATTTTCTGTGAATATTCGATCACCTATTACGGGCCAATATGCTGAAGCGCCTCTTCATTTTTCAAATAGGATTTTTAAAATTGTTAATACATCGTTGTTGACTTTAGATTTTGTCCTTTGGGAATAGATACTCTCAGTTCAGATTATTCTGCAATTTTAAACGAATTGTAGCGAAATAAAACATTACCAGATCATTTTATCAACACAAAATGGGAGGTAATGTTTTCCAAAATTTGTGATAAATAACTTCCATTTCTTTATAATGTTTTCTTTTGCTGGCTAGTAATGATTAAACAAATTATTTTTGGAACAGATATAAATCAAAGTTGATGTCTTTAAAATTTCTCAGTGAATCACTCTTTAAAATATATATTTCTGTATATAATCAGCCTTTAAAATATCGATTGTATTTATTTTTCTATATATTGCTATAATTTTATATTAATTTTTCAGGGTTCCACACTAAGAGCAGATAGGATGGGGCTTTATAAGCAGTACTTCAAATTAACTCAGCATGCGTTGGGCATCAAAAGAACTGAAAATACCAAAAATGGTATAGCACTGCAAATGCTCATTTCGCAACCTATTAGTCATGGTGAGTAGAATATTATGAATATCAATTAGTAAATCCATCACAAGTGTGTTTAAGTTTCTGATCCATTATTGAAAAATTGTAGGAATTAAATTAAGCAATGTTTTTTAACTATTTTTTATTAGCCGTTAATATTGATATAGAAGACTTCTCAATTATGCATTGAAATTGGTAAAGCCTTCAACAATTTTGGTTACATTGATTTTTGAGATGTTGATGAGTGATTTGAAATGTTCATGATTCAGTTTGACTGAACAAGTTGCAAATAAATGTTTTCGTGTTACGGAATCAAATTTATCTAAATTATTCTAGATATGAAAGAAAACAATTTTGAATTAATTTCATAATTTAATTAATCTAGAAAATCATTTGGAAAAACGTTGCCGCAATTTCAGTTAAAAATATTTGTAGGTCAAGAAATAGCCATAAATCGTATTAAAATTTGTGTTTCTGATAAGCCAAAAATTAATTAAATAATTTCAAGTTCTCTTCACGTGTCGGAGTATTCAGGTTAAAGTGCCACCCACTTTCACTCTTAATATGTTGAATTAACTGCTACAAGATGACTCGGCCTTGTTAAATAATTATAGAAGAAAATGCGTGCATTACGCGTAGAAATACTATACGCACGAAACGAAACACCGAAACCGGTAAAAATTATGCAATCCAAGCCATTTATTTCGGCATTGTGCACTTCGACTACTTACATTTAAATAATCAGGAAAAAATGCGAATTTAGCATTGCAAAAATAATTTCCAGTTTCTTTGGAAATATTGTTTTCACGCTCATTGTTCAAATGGGGCTAATTACGTCATGCTATCTGCGATTTGGAAACATTTTCAATGATTTTTCTAATGTGTGTTGTTTTCAGTACCATCAGGTGTAATGCATTTTAACTTAAGTAACAATAATTTTGTAGTAACATGGCGGAACATAAATCAATATCATGTGAAGCAACAAGAGAGGAAAGCGATGTAAATATGAAACTTATCTAAAAACTTTCTATCCTATAGTTTATTTGTTCATAGTAGGCAAAATTGACCGAATTAGCAGTAGACCGACGTAGAAAACTTTAAATCGAGAAAAAAAATTATCTGCAGTTGCCCAAACCACATAACAAATCCTGAAGTATAATTACCGACATCCACAATTCAATTACAGATTTTTCGTTAATGTGATTGTAGGGGAACATCGACCGTGCTTAAAATTTGCTAATAAATTTCATGAAAGCTTGCTATTAATAAACTAAGTTATAATTTTGATCGAGTTAAATCGAGCAAGAAAAAGATTATATTTGCAGTTGCCCAAATCACATAACCAATACTGAAGTATAATTACCGACTTCCATATTGTAGTTATAGATTTTTCGTCAATGTTATTATAGGGGTGACATGCTTAAAAATTACTGATAAATTTCATAAAAGCTAGCTATTAATAAACCAATGTATAATTTCCACATGTTCGAAGCACGAGTCGTACTAAAGATAATTGAACTAATGTAAACTAACTATTTCCTGGTTAAAAAGTTAGTATTTTTACAATTTTGCAAAACACATTTATTTTTAATACTTTTAATTTTGAACCAGCATTTTTGGATTGCTATTTTGCAATGTAGATAAATCAAATTCTGATAGGTTTTTGCTTCAACTGAAACAAAATAAAAAATTAATGTCTCAATTTCATTTAGCTGCTTTTCAAAATCTTGAAAGCTACGGAGATGCAGGGTCTTGAATCTGGACGTTGAAAATAATTTTCATTCAATATTTTGTTTGCTTGGTGATCGATTGGCATGCTTAGTCTTCTTCTACACTTCTTAATTAAAACAGAATTCACCGTTGGTGTGAAGTAAAAAGCCCCACTTTTTATTCACTTTTGGTCTTTATCTAACAGTGCACAAAAAGAAAAGATCTATAAAATCACGCAAAAGGCGCCGTTGTTCCGTCTCAAAAATGAAGAAGTTCCGATATATGAGGAATGTTTTTCAGCGTTTTATTGAAACGCTCATTTCAACGTAATTCAGACTGTGATCACATACCTTTTTGTGCTTTTAATCAAAGAACGCATTAGATATAATCAGTGTTTTGCAATTAAGGTGTGAATGTGCTATTTTGACCATACATTTTTAAGCAGTTATTTAAATTTAAAAACAATCGATGAGCAAGCAAATAAATTACTTTTTAAATCTAAAATCAATACCATGCAGCTCCAGAAGTTACAATCTCCAGGTGCAATCATCTTGCATGATTTCTCATTCGGTCACTAATTGCCGCCTAAATTCATGCCTTTATCATTTATTTTTTAGCATCATTTACAGGCATCTCTATCGCTATTTTCATCTCAGTACCATATTTTGTAGGCAACGCTATATTATTATCGTTTTAGATTTATTGAAGGAATGTTTATGTGCGAAATAAGTATTTTGGAAAATTCCGAAACTGCAAAATTATTTTACTTAATATTTAAACTTACTTTAAGAACTTTAGTACAATAAAAGCAAATATACATTTTGATTCGTTTACTGACTTTGAGTTTGAGTTGCTTTAAATTCAGTTGTTCAATATAATATTTCATAAGACCGAAAAGTAACCACTATAAGATTAACGAAAACCTTCAACTAATTAAAACAGCTTAAGATATTAATAAGAAATGAAAAGAAAACTGTTTTCTTTTCATTTAAAAGAATTAAAACTGATTTAAAGCAAAGCAACAAAAAATAAATTGCTACCTTAATGGAGATTATGAAAATTAACATTTAAAAAAATGTTATATATTTTATTACATAAAAAAATAAATGTCCCAATAAAGACTCATTAGATGAAATCCACCTTTTTACATATAAAATATATTAACATAACGAAAACTTACATAAATTTAAACGAAAAAGTTGTATATTTCAACACTGATTTAAATTGCGATTTTAACAAAATCTTATTGGGTCACAGTGTTATTATTTGCGAATTGCCACGTTAACCGAAAATTTATTTTGCAGGCCACCTGTCGATTATTATTATCGGACTTTTCACTTTGGCGATGGGCATAATTTTGTCATCAATACCATGGCTCGATTATATAATTCTTAAGGTAAGTCATCTAGGAACGCGGCAATGCTATTATATACAATATATATATTTAGCAATATGTCTTAATATTTCGCCTGCGAAATTGTTGGGCAATATGGCAGTGAAATTTGATTAATCTGAAATAATTCGCAGATACATCTGTTTCAACATTACATCAGAACTCCACATTCGTCATTATTTCACAATTTTTTTTGCAGTTTAACTAATAGTTTATTTTACTGTATGTTTTGTTTTGACAGTTTACTATTTGAAGTACTAAATTAAAATGTAGAATGCGGATTACAGAACCAGATAGAGAAGAGTCCTGTTTTTCACTGCAAAGTGAAACGTTTGAATATGATTTAAGATAATCTGCAACTTTTCGGGTGGACGTTTTAATGTTAACAACAAAACTGAAAAATGTGTTAATTTTTTTTTGGTAATTGCGTTTTGTTCTCACTGATTCAGTTAACGCTTACCAATTTAGGCCTTAATTATGCTGCGAACATATTGTATAAAAAACATTCAATTAATTTTAAAAACATGAAATAAGAATGGGGTAATATTCATTTATATTTTATTCTATAATATTTTATTCCCTATATTATCCTCACTTGCTTTATGTACCATAAATGGCTGAAATGATCTGTGCTTCTACAAATAATATTTCTTCTCAGTATACGTTGAATAAATTTGACAATAATTTTGGTTCAGTTTATCTCCTATAATTAAAAATACCATTTGTAATGCTAGGAACGAAAGAAATAGATTGATATTATTAGAGGGAGTTTCATTTTTCCCAAAGCACACTTGTCAGCTGTGTATCTTCCACGTTCACTTGGAAATAGACATTCAGATCATAATATTGATTTATTCACTTTTAAAGTAAGAAGTTATACTCAAAGAGCAAGCATTTCTCTGGTTCCATCATATAGGCGAAGCTTAAATCGTCTTTCTCATAGATACTGATTATAATTTGATTTTTTATCACAAATAAATATAAATTGAGCCCTCTCACATGGAAACTTTCTTGAGGATATATTCTAATATAACGCTTCGTTCATATTTTTCATTAGAAGTTTTAGAAACTGTTCAAAAATTATAAACTTATTGGCACCGAGAAATTAAGTTGTTGACTTTATTGCGTCTGTTACTTTTTTCGGGTTTATTTTCTCGGGTTCGGTTACTACTAATTATATTCACATATTTTCTACTTCGTTTCTTTAATTCGTATGTCATTACGCGAGACCAAGATTGTTACTATTATTGTTACTTCCTTAGGTTGAAATAAATCATCTTCAGCTTTTGACCAAGATCTGTGTTAATTGATGTGATTTCCATTAAATTCAGGAAAGAACGCAAACTTGTAAAATGTGATTTGTCAAAAGTTTCAGTGTAACTTCGATTGACGGCGAAAATAATTAGTAATTCGCTTAATTAAATATAATCCACGATAGCATTTAATTGTTCATCTGAGCATTCTTTGACTATGAAAAAACTCGAATATGTGAACTTATTTTCAGAATCTAAGGCTCAAGGAGGGCTCAATAAGTTTCCAATACTGGCAGAAGCCGGGAGTTATTCGCCTTACAAGAGTGTATATATTTAATGTAACAAATCCAGATGGCTTTCTCAAGCAAGGAGAAAAGCCCAAATTAAAAGAAGTTGGCCCATTTGTATATAGGTAAGTGTTTTGTTGATATTGTAAAAGCAGTTTGCTAAACATTTCCAATTTGTTATATTGTATAGTCTAAAACTATTGGAAAGTTTCCATACTTACAGCAAAATTGGACAAAATGAAGCTCATAATTTGTTTCTTTATTTTAAAGTCTTTTTGCAAATGTATTAGAATTCGGATCTAAAATAATTATTATCTAAAGATCATTCTGTGACTCTAATGCATATCATTGGTAAATACCAAAGCTTGTAATGATTTGTTTGAATTTTTACCAAAGATTTGAGTTTGAGTAGTGAATCACATGAGAAAGATCGCGACAACAATAAAAAAACATTTGGTTCCCTGCATTTTATAAGAACTGAGGCTCATTCCGCCAGCTTTATTATAAATTTAATGAATGTGATGCATCTAGAAAATCTTGGCATAGTGCTCGGTAATATATTTTAAATCGAAAATGTTTCTTTTTGCCCTTGTCGGATTCGTTGTCGTTTTCAGTTCATAATTAGGTTAATGTTTTCAGAATAGTTAGATTCGAATAAATGATACTACGATAAACACACCAATTATGTCCAGATAAGGTAATATATATTGATAAAAATATGAAAGAACTAGTGCATACTTTTGGTTACGACTTTGAAGCAATTACAGACGCAAACAAAATTAAAACGTTTTTACGAAAACACAAATATTCTAAGATCTAGAAACATAATTAATGAGCCAAAATAAATCTAGCCAAAGCATATTAATTTCAAAAAATTGTGTTAATATCTCGTAATTATCGTTAGCACCTTGATTATGATAAACTAATATTGAACAGATCATAAAGCCTTGATTTTTCTTTGAAAATTCCTTCACGACCTTAACACCTATGTAATAAAGTAAGCGTCCATTAGAATAGAAAATTTAAACATTGGAAGAAACTGATGCATGGAAGACCTCTTGTTCTCGTACACGAATAAAACAAATCCAAGCAGTTAAAGTCTTTAATTTGTTACTTTGGTGTCATGCGCTTCAGAGCCAATTGATTTGCGAGAAAAACAGCTGTTTTACATATATGCTATCACAATTAAATGGTTTCCATAAAACTGCATTAAATTGACTTAATTATGATGACAGTAACATTCAGAATTACAAATACATTGAGCAAGGTCGGCACAACATTCAAATTATATACATTTTCTTGATTTTTATTCATAGGTCAAATTATTACTTTGTAACTACGTTTTTTCGATAATTAAATTCAACTTGAAGGTCAATCTGTTATGGAATTATATTACTGAATTCACATAATTTAGTCAAAATGTAAGATTCTCCCATAGCTTAATTAATGGTATATTAGTATCCAGTTAATTCAAAGCAGAACTTGTGTGAGGATTAAGGGAAGCTAAATTAATATCATCTGTACAAAACATCTAGTAGCGGAATATTCTCATTAGTTCAATTAAAGTCTCCACTTTATTTACACATTGTAGCTCGCCGAAGTAGATTTAAAATGTATATCAGATCGAGTCAAATGGCTGTTTCGTCAAGAAACACCACTAAGAAAGTTTTGGGTATTATCTATTAGGTGAGCTGTTGTAAGGTTCAAACACTAGGAGTGCAGAAACTGTAAAATTTCCGAATAGTTAGAGAGCTAACAAACTATCCATGCATAAGTTACGTCCGTATTTATAAACGATGCTCACGCCTGAGTCGAGTCTCAAGTACGAGACTTGGCTTCGATTGCGTTTTATAAACCATTCTCATTCTCGAGCCAGTGCTACTACTAAGAAGCTTTGCTTGCTCAAGTATCGGTCGACGGTCGTTTGAGTATTGCTTCTGCCCAGCCATTGGTCGAGATTTTTCGTTGAACCGCCAAACGGTTTTTAAGGTTATGTTACTATTTATGTTATGAATTTAATTTTTTGATTTTATTATCGTATACAATTTAAGAATGTATGTATGCAATTTTAGAATGGTTTTTGAATATTTGGACGTAATAGAGCAGAAAATTAACGAAGACCAACGTGTTAGTAAAATATATATACGAGATGGCAAAATTCCTTTGGAGTTTTTCTCGAATGTAGAATTTCGGAAAAGGTTTCGGTTTTCAAAGGCCACTATTATTGAGGTGATGTTATCTTTTTAAACGAACCATTATTGAAAGCCGATAATCGTGGACTACCAATATCAAATATCACCCATTACTCAATTGCTAGTATGTTTAAGATTCTATACAAGTAGTTTTTTATTCAAGAGATTATATGCAACAAGTAGCAAAGATTCTATGATTCCAAGTCTACTTTCTTACATAAAGTGTATATAATAAGTCCCTATCAATCTACACTCGACCGATACTTGACCGAGAATTCACGGAGTACTGTTTATAAATCGATCTCTCGGTTGAGCAGGATCTCGTACTTGGCGAAGCATGAGCTGAGTATCGGCTTGAGTATCGTTTATAAATACGGGCCTAAGTCTTATATATATAAAATCGATTGAGAAATCGTGCGTTTCTTCATTACAATATATACAATTTTTATTTACATATCTCCGCTAGACTTCCGCAATGCAGCTAAGTAATGGTAACGACACAGTGACTACATTCTATATCAAACATATTTATTTAAGTCCGTAATAAATTTAAAAATTAAAAGTTTTATGGACGAAGGTGGCAAAAAAGCATGCATAAACATAAAAGTGTTGCTGGCTTTGCTACATTTGTAAGTAAAAATGAATTATGCGCGAAATTTGACAAAATATTTTATACGTGACGTGACACATCGGTGATCTCCATAGATAAGTTGGTCAATTAAAAGCAAGATAAGTGACCGGTCTAATGTTCTAAAATGCCTAATTAACCCGCATCACCTAATGCTGATTGTAATTGCTTATGGTGTTATAAGTATGGCTGATTCGTGTTAATATATAATGTTTTGTGCATAATGAGATCAAAAGTCAACAATTTTATTGGGGCTTCAGTTTCCCTGAACCCGCTATGAATCCAAATGCTTTTGCCTACATAGAAAATATACTTTTCTGCATATAAGCTGCCGTAGAAAGTCTTACTAAATAAATTATAATTGATTAAATTGTCATGTGCTCATTTTTTTATTATACTCATCAGGTCTATTAAAACTCGTCGTGTTACTTGGAATGTAATAACCCAAAAGCAAAAAGTAAAATGTCATATTTACTAATCGCGATACCTTCAAATGTGCGAAATTTATCAGTCGTTTTGTTTGAGCAGGTGGACTTTTCTAAGAAACAAATTTTGCGAATATTTTTTTGGAAATGCAGTTATAAGCAAAGTCTAGGCGAAATTAAACCAGGTCTTAGAAAAATTGCTGTTTTACTATAATTCCTAAGGTTTATATACGGAGTGCGCTATTATCTTCTTGCTTCGTCAAACGCTGAATAACACTGAGAACAAAGAAAATGATAAGTAAGATCTCATTGCCCTGCAGTCCGCTCTACTGTTTTTTCACAACTAATCTCTTGGTCAAAAATATCTTATTTTTGCTTGAAGATCTTTTGATCCTATACTTGTATTAGTGGTTTGATTCTCATTTTTTTAAAGCAGACAATGAACATATATTATATACATTTGTCAACCCTGTATACATGCACCCGTCCATAAAAATGATCGACCTTGGTAGGTTTGTTGAATCTAATAAGATTCCAATGTCACATCCTTATTGAATGATAAACATAAAAGTAACTGATTACGTGACCATATTTCACAATATCTATTTAACTTTCGCAGAAGATAACGCTGTATCTTTTTGACTAATTTGATTTTGGTTTGCGTTTCTTGTTAACATAATATTTGCGAAAACAATTTTCACTTACTCAAATTTTCGAATCAATTGACGCTGGAAAATCCTAGATATTTGACTAAGATTTGAATTTACGGAAGGTTCTATGTAAGATCGAGTTTTGTATGAGTTTGTTAATTTTTATATGTTTTAAACAGGGATACGCAAACATTACCTTATCCCTCTGGAGGGAAATTAGAAACATTTTTACTCAATGGAGCATAATTCTTAATTTTAATTAATGCGGCCTAAAACTCATTTCTTTACAAAACAGTTACGGAGCAAAGGTAATCGTGGGACTTAGCTCATTTAGAGGATCCTTTCTTTTTACATGATATAAATTTTTGCACCAGAAATCATCTGCAAAAATTATGAGAACTATTTAGAACATGCTATTGATTAAGCCATCAAATTCTTCAACTATGTTAACAAGAAATACCGTCACAAAATTACAATCCTCGTGCTCAGCGCTTCATTTTTTACCATGTCCCGCCATAATTGCTGATAAAATTAGTGTAGAATGACATGATCGCGAAGGGTAAATTAGCAAACTGAATTTTAGCGTCTTTTTGATGAGAGAATAAGTTAAAATGTGATTAGTTCATCCAATTGGTGCCGATTAAGGCCTTAAAATAACGATGTGACAACTATCCGGAAATATTGTTTTCACTCACGATTATAGAAAGGAGGTAAAATAAATAGAAAAAAAGTAAATGTACATGAGAAGGTACATTTACTCCTTAACGCAAATACTTTGTATTAAATATCGCGTATCTGGGTCTTAGACAATAGAAACAATAGATAGATCTATTCGAATTGCATGTATTGGATGTTTTCAATAACAATATTTGAATTGTCTTGAATAAAATATTTTACTTTTTACTAGAAAAAACAAAAAATGCAACCATTTTTTAAACTCCACACTTTTTATTTATTAATTATTTCAAATCAAATTTATTCCTGAGTTTCAGTCATTTATTGTCTCTATTTATTAATCAAAATACGTTTCGGTGTATTTTTCCACCATCATCAGTTTTTATGTGTAGCGTTGTTGCTGCTTTAAGCCTTGGCATGCAATTTAAAGCTTTTTGATTGATTTAAATTTGATTTGGAATTGAAACACAGTCAGGAAAGTAAATACAATTAATTATTTTTACAAAATATACCTACATATTACGTATAAGCATGTATGTCGTACTGTGTATAGTT